TAGAACGTTATAGTTACGGTTAAAGTTAGGTGCTGCAACTCGGCATAAACTTTGAGAAGTTTTAAACTCTAGATCCTGAAAATTGGGATAGCCGGTGTAGACATTGCAATTTTCGTTCCAAATGCACCATGCAACAAGTATTTTTGTCCCTCTTTGTTTTTATACTTTTAGCACAATGATACAGGAGCGTTTATCAACCGTTTGACACGCGGCCACCCATCCAAGATTTATCACCGAGTGACAGTGACATTTGTATTTCACACACATTTTAGCACCAGACGTAAATGAATTTACATTGTAATTGAAATGGTTTAAGGTGGTTTGTTAATAAATTGACAGCGGCTTGGTCATACAAATTTCCTTTAACCATTTACTGCCCGTTATCTTTGGATGGCTCTCTAAGAATTCAATCGGTATAAATCTGTATTTTTTTTTGTTTAGACTCTTTTCCTTTGTTTATTTCGTAGTTAGTAATCAAAATCCCTTATTTAGTTATAATTTATGGTGAAATTTCTCCTATTAGCTATGTCATTACGTTAACTTTTAATGGCAAAACGAATGGTGCAAACAAAGATTTCCAGGAAAAAAGCGATTTTGTTGTAAGGATCACGTCACATTGTGAATATAGATGCGATTTTTTAATTATAATAAAAACTAAAATGTTGATCGGAATATCGACATAATTACGGCAAAATATAAACGCACATTATAATGTATCCTAGACGAAGCAAACGTTAGATGTCCTATTTTGGGAAGGATTACGTGGGTTTGAGGAGTCATTCATTTTTATTTAATTTGATAATCAAGCCAAAGTGAATTGATAGAAACTTTAGAATAGTCTATTAAAAAATTGGAAAAAAAATAAAAAGTTGGTCTTTCTTCTACGAAGCACCAGTGTAGCCACGTCTTAACCCCATTACTGCTCGCTCGTTAAAAAACAAAATTATCGGCAGTATTTTCCGGTGGCTATGGACCTCAGAACCTTTGTTCTTACACTTGATTTACGTCCAGTTGTTTATGTTACCTTTACGTGAGAGCGATTTGATTGACCGCCACTGGAAATCTACTTAGAGGTATTTATTTTTCACTAGCATTTGCCCGTGGTTGCGCTTGTGTTAGCAGAGTTATGTCAAAAAAGTAAGAAAGTGATAGAGTTCCAGAGTGAACAATCTATCTATACTAATATTATAAATGCAAAAGTAACTCTGTCTGTCTCTCTTTCACGCCAAAACCACACAACGGATTTTGATAAAATTTGGCATAGAGATAGCTTGAGTCCCGGAAGACATAGGATAGATTTTACCCCGGTTTTTGAAACAGGAACGCGCGTGATTCTGTGAAAAACAAAATTCCACGCGGGCGAAGCCTCGAGCGGAAAGCTAGTAGAATAATAATCAAGATCAGTAGGATTATGACGAGCGCAATGACAAACTTTTGTCGATGCATTTTTTATCGATTTTGCACGATAACCCCATACATTTGTTGACTAAAATCGTCGATAAGATTTTATCATGGCGCCCATTCTAGCCCGGCTGGTGAATAAAAAACATACCTACGTCCACTTAATACGTCAAACTCTAAATTTGTTGGTTGCCTATCGTATAATCAGCTTATGGGGTACATCAAGATTCTAGAAAAACTGTACAAACTGTATAAACATTTTGTCTGAAAATGGATGAGAAAAACGGTTTTCTGTTCATGAAATGCTAAAAACGTTAATACGTTCAGAACATTTCTAATTCTTCAAAAACACTAAAGCCTCGTTTCCACGGAATGCAGTTTTAGGGGATCCAGTAATGCAGTATCCCGCAAAACTGGACTGTCATGAACACGTATTTATGTGTTTGAAATTAGAATTACGGATCGGTTTTTGCGGGACACTGCAAACGGGTTGTTCATGTGAACGTTATTATTAAAACATGTATCCTCCTTATTTATGAATAGAGTCTTGTTTATTTTATAATAATACATTACATTAACTTAAAATGACTTAAAAACTAAAATTTAAAAATTACTAATGATGAAAACTATTTACAAAATAAAAAATACTTCACCCCCAGCGCCGCAGTCAGGAATGGTGCCCAAAAGGCTGGCAGCATTGCCACGTTGAATGGCCAGGCTAATTCTCTGACCAAAATAGCTGCCAGCCTTTTGATCACCGGTCACCTCGGTGAGCCTCTTTGCCAGTTCCTTATAAAAGGAACGAGCGCTTGGACCCCATGGTCCCATAGTCTCAATCCCTATCCTCCTAAAAACAGTTCCTGCAAAAAACGAGAAGTTTCCATGGAAACAAACCCTAACATCTATGTACAAAAAAATATTTGCGCTGGTCGCCTTAACCTGCTTGCCCTAGGCAAGGGTTAATTTTTTTGTACTTTACAAAGCACAAAGATTTATTGAGTGTCACCAAGAGGTTAAGAACAATGACCAATCGTGGTTACCGAGCTTATTGAACCTCCGAGGTGGTTTTTACATTAAATATACGGTAAAATATGACCTAAGTGGAAGAGAAATATGGCAGGTCGTGGTGCGTGAACTTGATTACTTGGTAAGGGTATGTTCACACTAGTCATAAGCTCATAGGTAATGCCATTGTAATTTGTCGTTATTTTAATACTAGCTTTTGCACACGGCATTGCATCGCCCGCGTGAAATTAAAGTCACAGATCATTATAAATTAGAGCCTATTATGTTATTCTGATGCATAAACAAAAATACTGTACAGTTTCATCAAAGTAGTTAAATGGTCTCAAGTCAAAAGTGTTTGACCAGTGTGTGTTGCCAGTGATGGTGTATGGCTCTGAGACGTGGTCGCTTACTATGGGCCTCATAAGAAGGCTCAAGGTCACCCAAAGAGCGATGGAGCGTGCTATGCTCGGAGTTTCCCTGCGTGATCGAATCAGAAATGAGGAGATCCGTAGGAGAACCAGAGTGACTGACACAGCCCGCAGAATCGCTAAAATCAAGTGGCAGTGGGCGGGGCACATAGCTCGAAGAGCTGATGGCCGCTGGGGCAGGAAAGTTCTTGAGTGGCGACCACGAGCTGGAAGACGTAGCGTGGGCAGGCCTCCCACTAGGTGGACCGACGATCTGGTGAAGGTCGCGGGAAGTACCTGGATGCAAGCGGCGCAGGACCGGTCTTTGTGGAAATCCTTGGGGGAGGCCTTTGTCCAGCAGTGGACGTCTTTCGGCTGAAACGAACGAACGAACGAACGAAGTTAAATGGTCGTAGTTTTTGAGTGAAAGAGTAACAAACATTCATACTTACAAACTTTCGCATTTATAATATTAGTAGGATAAGCATATATTTTTTTAACACTAGATTCATCAGGTCATTTATGTCTTATATTCGCATAGTTCTCCCTAAAGCTTCAACCACACCAACGCGTGCAGATCGCCATCGGCGGCGCTATCAAAGACCAATGACAGGTCGCGTGACTCTTGACAGCTCGCGCGACCTGTCATTGGCCTATGATCGCGCCGTGATCGCGCCGGCGATGGCGATCTGCACGCGTCGGTGTGGTTGAAGCATTAGCAGGCCTGTTCATCTCCGCGAGTTTACATCGAAAACAAAACACGCACGATGGCCCACCTACAGGATACTATTCGACAAGGTCTCACATACGAGCGAACATTGACTCACGCACGCGTATTCTTGTGTATGATGGAAGAAAATAAAGAAAATGGTGTACTAAATACTGTGCAGTATTTAACTGCCTAAATAATAATAAAAACACAGAATGTACTTTTTTAAGTTGCCTCAAGACACTGAGAGGTAAATAAGTAGTTAATATTATTCATGATAATTCATGCTAAATCATGTATTTCCTCCGCCATTTTCCGCAGTTTGGCACCTCACGTCACATCATTTTACCGAAGTCAGCCCTATAGCTTCGGCGCAGTGCCGATCACTGACGTTTGTCAACAAAATGGTGCTTGACTCTTGAGACAGGCTAAATTACACCATAATTGTTAATGACATTGAGCATACATTTTTTTAAATACCTTCGCGAAGTAAAACTTCTGTACGTAGTACTTATTATTATTCTGTGGCATTAGTCACCACTTGCAGCAACTACGGGAATAGTGGGGGTGGTTCAGAACCAGTCACTGGTTCTGTTGTACTCTCGGCTAGACTTATTGACTAATCACTACCAAAACAAATCTCAAGATCTGATAAGATGAAGAAAAACCTCATCTAATAAGATGCCACGTGTAGCTTGAAGTGCTGTAACGGATTGTTCCAAAATAAAGAAATCTTTTTAGAAATCCTGTAATTTATTCTCAGTTATAACTCAAACAAAAGGAAATTAGAAAGATTTGGAATTAAAGTCACATTTTACTTGCGGACGTTACGGTTTGTGCGGAAAATTTTCCCTAAATTTTCCGAGCCGCATTTTAATTTTTTAATTACGCGGAAAACTCCAAAAATAAATGTTATTGTTTTCGTTTGGGATCAATGGCGTTTACGGCTAATTAGGTTTGTTTTGCAAATAATTATCAGGTTTGGTTTTTGAGTGAAAAACAACGCATAATGAGTTATTTAAAAAATATTTACGTCTTGCATTATGTTTTTAGTGGGTACCTACCTATTTCAGTGGTGTTTTTTGTTAAAAAAAGCATTCGGAATATTAATTAAATCAAATTTAAAAGTTTAAATGTGCCAAGTATCTCACGATTTTCTAAAGCAGTTCCATATACTCGTACATAGACCGTGTCATCCACGAAGTCGCGCCCTACCATTCTTCCGCTAATGTTTGAGTGTTGTCAGTACTCGCTAAATTACCCATGAATGCACACTACAATAATGACGCTTGGATTGCTCGGATCAAACTCCCCGCACCCCGCGCTTCCCTCGTCCAAAAATTGGTAGGGCGCGTCTTCGTGGATGACACGATAATCTTATGACGCAGTACCTCATACTCTTATAACGCAGTACCTTATAACCTTATAACGCAGTACCTCATAATCATTTAACGCATTACTTACCTCTTACGCAGTAACCTGAGCATCTTCACGGCAAGACTAGCCTCGTTGCTGGTGCTGCACGCCGCCGGCGCCGGCCTGGCGTCGCCCACGGTGCTGGTCTCCCGCCCGCCGGCCAGGGTGCAGCTGGACTGGCTGCCGACCGACAACCAGACCGTGTACAAGCTGAGGGAGGGAGAGACCAGGAGGTGAGGTTCTTCATCATCATCATTTCAGCCACTGCTGAACATAGGCCTCCCACAGTGATTTCCATATCGCTCGGTTGGTAGCGGCCTGCATCCAGTAGCGCCTTCCTGCTACCTTTAAGAGGTCGTCGGTCCAACTTGTGAGTGGACATCCCAATTCCCACGTCAGGTGGACTGGCTGCCAACCGACAACCAGACCGTGTACAAGCTGAGGGAGGGTAAGACCAGGAGGTGAGATTAGTGTAAACTTTGTAAATCAGATTCAAAGGACGTATAGGGATTTTTATGGTTCTAAATATTGGAACTCAAACATTTGAGAAGAGGATTTAGTGAATAGAACTTTGTGTGTATTATTTAGCAATAGAGTTTGTTTGAATACAAATAATGCCAAAATGTGTTTTGTCTTATTTTAGTTTACATTTACACGGGCTCGAAATTATTGTGACTTTGTGACGCCCAAGGGCCTCATAATAGGACAGCCGAGATAATGGGGTTAATGAAATTATTATTATTACCAATTATTATTACTTATTTCTTGGCCTATTTGCAGACATAAATCCTGACAAGTATAAAACCAAGAAATAATTTTCATTTCGACGACTCTTGATTGAATTGAGAAAAACAAGATGCGTAAAGACCCAATTTTTCACGAAAGAAACTACAAAAAAACTATCAATATTTTCAATACTTAATACTTTATAGCTTAACCACATTAGCATTTAGGCCTTACAATTCAAGCACAACATTGAAAATTTTCTTAAAAAGCAGGTTATTAGGGATAGATAGGGGCCGATATTAGGGACTCAACTACTGATTTAATTTTCCATGAGACAGGAAAACAAATTCTTATCTATTATTAATGTTTGATTCAATCCATTTCATATTCGGGTCCTTGTGCCAATTGCCCAGATCAAGGAAGGAATAGCACTTGCGATACTCAGTCTTCTGTCAGCGGGATTTATTGTCTATCGCCGATGCCAGTGGCCCGGTTCTTTCATTTGATATCATAAATCTAGATCTGCGTGACGTAAAGTTTAACAATAGAAGTGGGTTGTGCGTCTATCTTTTCTAAAAGTCGTTAATTCAGTTATTTTTGTGATGATTTGTTGTGAGCTGGATTTCTTAAATAGATAAGGGAAATAATCACAATAAAGACTTACTTATGAGTAGAGATTACACCTCTATTTCTTTCTATTATGGTAAAAGGAGTGGGTGATAATAACATTTCAATTCAACAGATCGAATATTATTAAACTACGTATATTATACTCATAATTATTAGTGTAGTAACTTACAGAACGAGGAAGAAAATGTCTTTACTGCAAAGTATGAAAGGTTTTACTATCCACAATCACTTATTGCCTGTCTTACCCAAACAGAAAAAAACTATCAATCAAATAATACAATATCGCGATTTAGCTTCTTTTTTTCAACATAAGTGAGACTACATCATGGTAGAGCACTGAGCTCGTTATTTTTCAGAACTATCTAACTACAAAAACCCATACCGTGGAACCTCTTGTACGCTGATGATGAATAATTGGTAATTTTAACAAAATGTTTTTATTTTGTTTTCTTACAGCTTGGAGCTGAATATCACGTCGATCCCTGAAACTCCGGTGTTCATCAACATAAGCCCGTGCTCGAGGGACTTCCACTGGGCCTTGTATCACGGCAAGACTCATAGTCAAGGTAAGTACGAAACTGTGTATTATCATTTATTTTGTAACATCAGATGTAACTACAACCTTACGGGACTATTCCCACTTCTCGTTCCCACCACTGCAACTCCTGTGTAGCCAGGAGCTACCGCTTGACCGCCACAAAAACCCAACCAATGAAGGTCAAGTTTGTCCCGGGGGAAAGTTAAACTGTATGTATATTACTTTTGTTGCGATGTAAATAAAGGATTATGAATTAAAATCAACCACCAACTTAGGCTGAGTTGCACCACCTAACTATAACGGTAACTATGACGATAACCGGTGCATTTTGTATGGAGTTTGACAGATTTTTGACATTTTGTCAAAGTTAAAGTTAGATGGTGCAACCCACCCTTAGAGTAGGCGCACACCGTTGACTTTTAGTTGGCCGATAGTTGTGCCCGATTTTAATTGTATGAAGAATCGGCCAAATCGAATCGGCGTAGTGTGCGCAATCCCATACATGCCCATACTGATCAACTGCCCGACTAAACTATCGGCCGACGAAAAATCAACGGTGTGCGCCTACTCTTAGTGAAGTCTACACACCAAACCCGCCGAGACCGTCGACATTTGAAACGTTGTCAAAAGTCATAGAACGTATTTATAAATCGTCCACATGATTCTCTTGAAATATAGCAGCAGCATGTTGTTGGGCTTTAACTGGTTAGAGAATGGACTTAGAATAAGAGAATTTGGGAAACTCGTTGAGTAAAATCACTTTATTGTTTATGTAGTTCCCAGTTTGGTTAAGAAATTACAGACTTGAATAAACTATTATCTGGAAGGAATTGTATCCGAGCTCTAAAGGAATTAGTACTTCAACTGAAAGTGACATCGAATTAATTAAGTTTTATTGTTCCAGGCTCCCTGACTCTACTAAAAGAACATAATGGCGTTGAGATGAAGACGTTTTCTATATTTATAGCACCCCAAGACAGATATATTTTACAGGTAAAGTTACTTTAATTTGATGTTACTCATTATAATATACAAAAAAAAACAAAGGAAAGTGGAATTTTTAGCGAATATTTTCCGTGCGAAATCAACTGTACTGTGGCTCGCATTACTGCAATACGTTTACACTGCGGCACCATCGAGCTACGCGGATTTCCTACTGAAGGAAGCCACGTAAAGTAGGTAGTGTAAATAGGTATTTTTCTTTGACTAACTGAAGTTAAAGTGCGTTTTAAATCAATTTTTTTACTGAATTGTGATCAGAATAAGCTACTTAATCAACTCCCTATATGGCGAGGATTGAAAAATTGAAATCAACATTCTGTATATTTTTCCTAACTTTTAAACTTGACTACTCCTGCACACGACGCCGCCACCGCTCCGCCGCCGCGCCGTTTATTAACACTTAAGGACTCGCGCCTTAATTTGTAACATACATACTCGCTACCGGGTGCGCTGGACCCAGTATATAAAATCCTATGTATTTTTCAAAAACACTAAATAAACGTGAAACCTACTTTATTAGAAGGATATTATGATATAAACAAAGACAATAGTAAAACAAATAGTAATATTAATTGCCTTTTTCTAAAATAACTTATTGAAAAAAAATAAGGTTTTTCGGCAAAATGAAGGTTATTTTTAAAAATTTCTTTAATTAATTATTTTAAAAAATACCTTGTATATTTTCGTAAACTACCATGATTTGCCTACTTATAATAATTATCAATTAATAAGAAATTAGTATAGAACATTAAAAAAATTACTTTATTTACCGGGTCCATCGGACTCAAAATCACCTTTTTCGCCTGTTGCACTCACATGCAGTGGGCTATTTGACGAGTACGACCGCGATTGGCCGTGAAATGTAATCGTGGAAAGGTACTAAGAACGACAACATCGCAAACGTCAAAACTTAAAAGTTATTACACAAAAATTGAAGTACTGGGTCTGTTAGACCCATTAGCGAGTCCTTAAGTGTTAAACAGTGTATGGGCGCGGCGACGGCGCGACGGCGGCGCGATGGCGGCGTCGTGTGCAGGAGCGCTAATAGATAGACAGACAAAATGAATAGAATTTGCTAAAGCAGCAGAATTTTAAGCCTTTCCTTTACCACAATGTCAATTTACTCCCCAGTTGTCTACAATAAGAGGCGGGGCGTGCGCAGTCAGCGTGCGAGGGGAGTCCACCAGGCTTGTGCGACTGCGCCTACGGACCAGGTCTCGAAGAAGGCTCGTGGCTAACTGGGATCCGAGGTAAGAACTTTGTTTTTCTATTTTATTTAACTGGTCTTTTTGAAACGGTTATTATACCTTTGTTAACATGCCATGCAACACAATTAAAATTTCAAGATTAAGAGACCAATAAGTACTATTGTGAAGCGAGCGGCGCAGGAATGGTCTTTGTGGAAATCCTTGGGGGAGGCCTTTTTCCAGCAGTGGACGTCTTTCGGCTGAAACGAAAGAATTGTCAAAATGATGTCCATCATCAAAAGTCTCAGGAGCACGATTCTTTAATTTATCAAAAGAAAATTAGGAATTTTGCTTATACTCCACACAAAATTGTTCATACAATTCGATTCCATTGGTAACATGGAAAATACCTAGAATCTGGGCGGACTCCCAACAACATTATCCAAAGTTTCGAATGCTTCTGTCACTCTCATGCAAAGCGAGATGCCAGCATAAGCGAGGATGATAGATAGACCTCCAATAATTATGTAAACGGCGGTAGGAAGTAGCAACATTTCTTTTTCATTCTTAGGGAAATTTTATTATAACTGTAGCTAGAATTTTTCTGCAACAGTATAAAATTATAATCACCACACACCAGCTTCTTTCTAACCACATCATCACACTTTTTTGCGTCATAATTTCTAAACAAGATATTAAAGAAACCGAGTTATGTTCAGCAGAGATATCTATATAAAAACCCGTCGAGCCGGCACAGTTATCCATAGCGTCCTGCACATAAATCTAGCCTGTCTGTCACACATCGTCACAAGGTATAAATGAATTTATGATGTGCCTAAAGCTAGGTATTGCCTGTAAGGTTGAGTGCAGACTTGGGACATCATGGTTATAAAATTCCTCTTTTTTTATGCAAGACAAGGCAGGTATTTGATCGCAATCGCACCTGGTGTTAAGTGAGATGCAGTTTAGGATGGTACATACGAGTATCTGCCCTGTTAGTGCCTATTCACGCCCGCTTTGAAAGGTCCTCTACATCAGTTATTGTTTTTTAAGTTTATTGCCATTATGTTAGAAGCATTGTTGCATTCCAGTAGTTAGAGGTGAGATACCCAATTCACCTGTGGTTGAGGATTGGGTGAATCTCTCTTCCATTTTCGGCCTGATCATTTCTTTTCATCAGGTAAAAAACTTCTCCTCTTAGATTTAAAAACATTGTTCTTCATATAGAAATAATATTAGGCATACCGCTTCTATGGATTTTTTTATGCTTCAAGGCAGATATTTGACCACAATCGCACCTGATGTTAAGTGGGATGCATTATATTATTATAAAGGAGGTTGGCATAAAATACTATATAGAAGGAAAAGGAGTCTTTTGTTACCCATTAGTGTTCTGTTCAGTCGATCGGTTCTGGGCAATTTTGACGACTCTACGACGTTTTTTTCGGTATTTCTTTTGTACTCTCAATGAACATCTTTTTCATCATATAATATCTCGAGACCAGACCGGCCATGACCATAAAGAAAACCAGGTTTTCAGTTTAATAAACCCAGCTCTAAAGATTAACCCGGCGTCTCTAATGAAAATCCTGGGATTATAGCGAGGTCGCCGTGGAAAACCACTTAACAGATCGCAGGGCTTAGAGCCATTGCAGACATGCTTCTTTTAGCATTAGCGATTTAAGCGCTTTTTAGAAGCTGAATCCAGACATTTCACACCGCACACTTAAAAACGCCAAACGTGGCGGTTGAGTCGCTTTTGGGAAGCTGGACGCAGCAACAGCAGTCAACAGAGCGTACAAAAGCATGAAGTCGCGAAATTGCGACGCTGGCACCGATAGAATAGCTAAAACGCGCGATTCCGATACCGCGTCCGAACGCATGAAGTTTTTTTTTATCCACAACAAGGAAGCTCTTGGTCTGTATCTCACCTGATAGTAAGTGACGATCAGGCCGAAGGTGGAAGCGAGCTTCACCCGGAATCCTCAACCACGGAGGAACTGGCTTTCTTACCTCTAACTGGCGGAACACAACAATGCTGTTAACATTGTTGTTATGGTAAGATGGTGGTAGCTAGCCAGGCGGACTTAGAACAAGCCCTACCACCAACATTCGTAAAATCGCGATGTTGCATCGATACAGTCGCCGATAGCTGATGCAAAAGTAGCATGTCTGCTCTGGCCCTTACTGCGCCTTCAAGATTTTTCCCGGGATCGCTTTCCGGGATTGAAATGAATCAACTTTCATTTCGTAAAGTGAATAATAATTGCTATTAATTGCTTACTTTGGGGCTAGATGGCGCTGTGTGAGATTGTCCAAAGATATTTATTTATTATTTATTTATTTCTCCGCTATTGTTCCGCTCGCGTGAACAAACGGATTGAACTGGAATTATTATCTTTTAGGATTCTCCAAGAAAACAAAAACAAATACCAATTAGATTCAAAAGGATTTCAATCAGATTAGAAATTACTTAGCTTGTATTTTTAGGTAGGTACATAGTCAATATTAAAATAATTTGCCAAGCCTGCAATTTCTTTAAAACGCCTCTTCATTATAATCTTTTTAGTTAGCTTTCAATTGACTGAAAAACGTAGGTACGAGTATTTTAGTAGATTTAATAGAAATAAATATTTACGTCCGTATTCACAAACGATGCTTGCTTATGTGAAGCAGCAAATCGAACGCACACCGTTGAATAGAGCCCTGTGATTGGTTCGTGTGTCACCCTGCGCGTCCACGCGCACTGTGAGACCCCTTATTAATGTTTTTCAATATGGGTGTTAGTCATTTAAGTTCTTGGCGTGATAGGTTCCCATTGCAATCTAATGGAAATCTATGGGAGAGTCGCGTTTTAACAGCTCATCAGAAGTAACAGCAAAATCAGAAGCATTAATAGATGTGTTGACACCACCAATCGAGCAATCGATTGACGTACTTTTTAAAACTGTCAAAACGAAACTCTCCCATAGATTTTGTATGGCACTACAAGCATGTGACGTCACTATTTTGTCAACTCAATTAAACTACTTTTTTTCAATAATATTGCCACCAAAAAGCGTAGTTTACAGGTAATTTTAAATTAATTAAGTTTTTAAGACCCGAATGAAGTGTCTTTTTAAAAAACTTGAGATTTCGAATTATTGGGGAATGGTGTCAAATTGTGTATTAAAAAGCCCAATGCAGCCAAATCGAGATCTGAGGAACGCGGGATCGAACCCAGTCGCTGCTGGACTATTGAGGTGAACCTACTCGTAACATTTTAGTATACTTAGCTCACCACGAGGGATTAACGGGATTATTAGTAATTTTCGAAATAATTGAGGATATTGTTCAGACTTTGTGTGTCCACCCCCTTAGAGATAGAGCACGCGATACGTCGCACGACAACTTTCAGATATCGGCTACATTTCTCAACGCCTTGTAGCATCCGCGTACGAGTTGATTTAATGCAGAACCCTTTATTTATGTTACAAGTATTATATTGTAAGGTGATAACCGTCACGATATTTCAATAACGCTTGTGATTTTAGACAGCCATTACTCAAAAATTCTCACTGTATGGTGTTTGTAAGCTATTCTAAGCAAATCCTTAAACCGATTAAAAATAGGTTAAAGTTTAACATCTAGGTCATCTAGTAACCACTATAAGATTAATCACGTTCCTGTCCAATTTACCAGGGACAAATTCTGGACAAAGGGAATGGAATTCGCTGGCCGCTGCTGTCTTTTTCGAATACCTACCTACTATAATCCGGGCCTTTTCAAGGCGAGAGTGAATAGGCACTTACAGGGCAGGTATATAACATTCTAGACCGTGTCTCACTTCACATTAGGTGTGAATGTGTGATACCTGCCTTGTTCTGCATTAAAAAATGGAGTATTAAAAGTTTAGGTTCATTCTGTATCAAAATACTAAGTAGTGGTTAGCAACTGCTAAAATATATTAGTTATGAATCTGTTTGATTATAATGTTTGTTGGTAAAGTCTGCCCTTCGAGGAATGAACGATGAATTTCGGCGCGATTTAATATTTATTACTTCATTAGTTCTTAGTTGTTGTATTATGAATTTCTCAAGTGTATTCTTTATTTTGTGGGAAGTTTTACGAGTATTATGATAGCGAGTCATTTCCCACTTCTCGTTCCCACTACTATCGCTCCTGTGTAGCTAGCTCGGCCCAGAAAAGCAACAGATGTCAGCAGTAGGTACAAAAACAGGATTATTCCCACCTCTTGTTCCCTCCGCTACAACTCCTGTGTAGCCACGATCTACAGCTTGACTGCCAATAAAAATCCAACCAGTGAAGGTCAAGTTTGTCCCGGGGGAAAGTTAAACTGTCATTGGACTCGCAACGAAATTAATCAGAAGATCATAGGTGGACTTTGAAGTTAAGGTTCGACTTCCCTCCATTGCAAAGCTCCAAAGCAAAATTCCCTCAATTGAGAGGTGACAAACAAAGGTTAGCAGTACAAGAGCTGGACTAAAGATAATATTGAAACATAAGCCTGCTAACCAGCTGTATAAAGACCGAGTAGCCAGCTAATACAGACCCTGTAATACCAAGAGGCCCCAAATTGATAAGAAAAATGTAGATTTCCGAAATCGCTCCGACTTTTTTTATCGTAACTAGGCTTACTTCGCTTCGTTTATAGCGAAATCATCTGTCACGAACTTCTGTTTTGCGATCACGAATGTAACTCTATCTAGAGGGGCGGGCACAGCTTAAAGACCTAGATTAAATCCTACCAACATATTAATAATTTAATGACCATCACAAGCCATTACAGTTAATTATCTAGCAAACACCATCGCGATTTGCGATAACCATGAAACGTGCAACATAGTAGAGCATTCCGATGCTTTCATTACGGAGATCAATGGTGGACACCGCATTCCTATATAATAATCCCGTTAGTTCAGTAAAAAAGAAGATCATAGAGTAACGGTCGGTTATAAGGCTATCAATTATACTTCAAAGAAGTGGCGCTTGTTTTTTGTGCGAAAGGATTGCAAGAATGTGGAGCGCATTGAAAGAGTCGATATTGAAGTAAGACTACGTAAATGGGATGGAGTAGGACAGCAAAAATGTACCATTAAAATTATCACATACAATAAAGTTACGAGGTATATTACCATATAGAGTCGAACTTCAAAGAGATTATGAAAGGTAGTCAGATTATGAAAGTCAGTTACTCGTAGGTCAGTCCAAATCTATCCAAAGATATATCCCTCTGTTTGTAAAAAAAAGAGTGACCATATAGAGTCACGAGAGATAATGTGAAACTGTCGTAGCAACTGTGTAAAATCTTGACCCCAGGGTTAAGGTTCAGTTTTTACAGCCCGTAGGTAAAAAAAATTAAAGCATTATAAGAAGCGGAAGTGCAAAAGCCCCTTGACGCGATTATCCAATCTTTGAAAAATAGCAAAACAAATTCTACTACTCGTAGGTACGTTAAAATGTCTTAAGCTATATTCAGCCTAAAATAAACTAAAATTACGATAGGCAATTAAAATTTTAAGCAAGTTAAATTCAAACAAACGAAGCTGCAGGCAAAGATTAGCAACTTTCAGTCAAACCTGCTCAATTATTTAGTATCTTTTGCTAGACAAAATGGCACTCAAGATTTTAAATACATTGTCAATTTACTTCAAACACGCGCCTAATAAACTTACATCTCCATCAAGCATAATATTTACTTAGGGATTAAGTTAATGACTTAATGCCAGTATAGAACATTTAAGGATTATAAAATATTATCAAAAGCTTTCGTGTATTTTCAGTCGGTTTAATATTTTCCAAATTATAATTTAATCTACTTTAAAACTAAGTACGTAGTATGACTTTTAGAATATTCTTTGTTATTATTCAAAACTCATAAAGGCGTCAGTCAAAATCACTTTTGCCTGATTTTTGCTATCAAAATTAGTTTTGAACGATTATGAGTTTTGATTGTAACGTAGATTTTTGACTACGGCTTTCGTGGCTCTTTTGAAGCAAACATTTTAAGATATCCACAGCGTTTTTCTAGAAAAACCATCGACTGTTCTTTTCTTCTTGCATCCAACCTAACATAGTAATAACTAATCATCACAACTTCATTTTGCATTTCTTAATATAGATTTCAATTGACATATTTCTCCCTTACCCAGAAGATGCCTACATCTAGTCATCGGAATTTACTTTTTCGCGACTATAAGTCCTTTATTAAAATACAATGAGGCTTAAAAAGTCGGTATTAAATTAATTTTGTAATGATTAAAGGGACTAAAGACGGATCTAGCATACTAATATAGATGCGGCAGCTTTATAGGTTTTTATTGTGGAACAATTATAGGAATTCCAACGCATAGCACGGGTCTAGTAGTGATAACTTTACCATTTTATAACAGGATTTTTATAGGGTTGACAGCAAAAATATACATGCTTCTGCCCTTAGCTTAGCCCGCGTGGATAACTGTGTAGGATCTCAGATTTTGTTCACAATTTCATGGGTAGTACAATTTTTCACAGAACTAAACTCAAAAGTAATAAGTCATTTTCAGAGAAAATCGATCCAGTTAATTTTGAAGATGTGCTAAAAATAGTCAGGTAGAAACGTTTCAGAAAAACGACTGTGCCGGAATGTAGGGTTAGAGCTCAGATCTGAGGGTTAGAGCCTTGGCTCTAAATAAGATCTGACAATAATTTCTGAATGTATTAAGCCAATGATTTTATCTTGGCAATATTTTACATAAACATGTTTTGGTGGGATCGTATATTTTGAAGCTATTGTTTTGTTTGTTATTAAGTGACTGACTGACATGGTGATCGATCAACGCACAGTCCAAACCACGGGACGGATCGGGCTGAAATTTGGCATGCAGGTAGATGTTATGACGTGTAGGCATCCGCTAAGATAGGATTTTACGAAACTCTACGGAAAACGGGATCCATGCGTACGAAGTCCCGGACGGCCGCTAGTTTGATATTATAAATAAACAGACTTTTTGATTAATTTGTATAGATTAAATTAACTGTACCCTTTTGTTCCAGCCCTATAGATCCGCAAGCCACCACTTACTGCGTCGTAGCATCCCATTTGAAAAACTACACGTCTCTATGCGCAGCGCAATGCGACTCGAAAGCGAACCGATTAGAAAACAAATCATTCGAACAGTACGACCGGGACTCGATTGAGAATCGAGAAGATTCCCGTCAAATCGATTGCGCGAGTGCTCAAATCGACAACAAAGTGGAGGTGGATCCTTTCGGGATTTTTGAGGGCAACTTCAAAAGCGTTTACAGGACAGGAAAAAAGTTCGGTGAGTTTCAGAGTTTTGAAAACAATGCTTGAATTGGGAATCGTTTCCTGTATTTCTCCTTGTACCTACATTTTAAGAAGGAATGTAATAATGTAGGATGGCGCTGGATGCAGGCCGTTGCTAACCAGCCATTTTGGAAAACATTGTGGGAAGCCTATGTGCAGTCAGATGCCAAGTGTGTGTGCCAAGTGGCTGAAGTGAATGATGAATGAATTTCTTCCTTGTTGCTATAGCCATAGTACAAAAATAAATCTTCATAAGCATTGCGTCAATTTAGCACGAAAAAAATACATTCTAGGCTTTTGAGCTTTTTAATTAGCTTCCTATTCAGCAAAAACAATAGAGAACCCGAGGGCTACAAGCATTATTCTGCTGAGGAACATTCGCTCGTAAGGAATAAAAAAATAAAAGATTTGACTCGATTTCCGAGCGCTAGGAATTTGTTATTCGACATAGAGTTTAGTGTAAAAAAAATTTTATTTTAATTAACTTTCTTCTGAATGTTTTTGACTTCATAATTATAAATCTTTTGTAACAGGACGAAGCACAAAAGTAAGCGATGAAGACCCAGTGATAGCGTGTGTTGGTGATAGAACTCATCATCTTTTCGAAAACTTGGATCCTAGCAAGGTATATTCATATTAAAAATAATTTTTAAATTATGTAGGCCTGGCCCGGTAGTTTATGCCGAGCTATAACGGTAGAGATTGTGGGTTTGATTCTACTTGTATTAAACATAGATCGAATGACTTACTAAAGAGAACTAAACATTATAAATAACTTGAAAAAATCGAACCCACTACTTTTCGCTTGCCGGGCGACTATTCTTCGCTCTGACACTAAACATTCTTAAGAAATTACATAATATGATATGACATCTTCTTATTAGAAAAGATTTTTGCATTAGATAAATGTAAGACTGTATGTGTTTTTATTTCGTTGCTTATTTGTTTCAGATGTACTATGTCAGCGTTTTTGGTCTAGCCACTGATCGTCAAGCGGGGTCTCTACTAGCGACCAGTAGCGTGCGCCCGCGCACTTCCACAGCGAAAAGGCTGCGCGAAAACCAGCCCTATAGAGCTGACATTAGGAGCAAAGTCGTGTATTACTTCAAGGTTTGTTTGTTAACCTATGATGATGATGAATTTCTTTGAGAGGTAAAACCTCAGATCATAGAAGGGTAAGGGAATTCCCTTCTATGATCTGAGGATAAAAAGAACCGTACTCTCTGAACCTAAAAAAAAATATGACCGTATTTGCGGTTACCCTAAGTGGTCTTATGAGACCGTGATAACAATTGATTGTCGATTCGCTGATACTTGAAGGGTTCGGGGGCAACTTTAGCTCATGTCAAAAAACTGTTTTATTTCCCACCTCTAGCAATGTCGAATATTCGATCGTTCGTTCGTTCGTTCGTTTCAGCCAAATGACGTCCACGTGTGCCCCGCCCACTGCCACTTGGTTTTAGCAATTCTGCGAGCTATGTCGGTCACTTTGGTTCTCCTGCGGATTTGCTCATTTCTGATTCGATCACGCACGCGAATATTCGATGGTCTACTAATAATTGAAAATCTATAGAAATGGGTTAGCAGCTTCTAATAAAAGCGTTTAAATTGACAGGCGACAGTGGGAATGGGAGGAGGTCTCTGGCTAACTGTCACTACCTGCGGAGGAGCTGTGGACATCGAGGTGACAGTGAGAGGCAAACGCCTCTACATGGCGAAGAACATTGGTAAGTATTTTTGAACAAAACATAAAAATGTTCAACTTTTTTTTAACAAAGTATAGCTTACAAATCTGAAACTTTTAGAACGATAGTTTCGCACTATGGAATGTACATTGTACAATATCGATAAGAGGTGGGTATAGTCCCGTACCAGAGAACATCTAGTACGAGCTATTTCCACCTATCGTTCCCACCACTGCAACTTCTGTGTGGCCAGGATTTACAGCTTGACTGCCAATAAAAACCCAACCAGTGAAGGTCAAGTTTGTCCCGGGGGAAAGATAAACTGTCATTGGACCTGCAACGAAATTAATCAGAACATAGGAGGAGTTCGAAGTGAAGGGAACATCTATTAGTTTAACTTTCACTTTTCTTTTTCTACATACTTCTATCATGGGAAAAAGTCCTTAATGAATTGTACCAGATTTTACGATCCGCTAAAGGCCGATGGTCACTATATAATATGGTCTTTTCTTATTGGGCAGTTTATAAACTTAGCTTTGTCAAAATGTGGCAAGGTTTTAGTAGGATTATTTAGGTATTGTCTGTAAGGTTATAGCAGCTACAGCATTAAGGATTTGTTACAGATTCCCATTCAAAATTCTTCGTGCCGACCCCAATACCGAACTCCTCGATTCAGGAGACTAGTGACGAGGGCTCCGTGCAGTTTGACTCCAGCTCGGAAGAAGCCAGGATGCGGTACGTGATCAAGGTCGCGCCCAGTAGGTGGGATCGAGACGGCACTGTCAATGTGGAGGTAATAATCAGTAAAGAGTATCTCTATGTTAGTTTTATCTGGCAAGAAAGTATTGAGGAATTCAGGGGCAGTGTTGTTTATACACCTCCCCACACTAGCGATGCTAGTCTAGCGTCTTTCGAAAGTTGTCGCCTTGCTTGCGAAAATGCATTTGAGTAAAATCAGTGAGAAAATAGATGACGCGACATCGGCTCGAAAGACGCTAACGTGGGAGATCTCTAAAATACACATAAGTCACCATATACTTAGTCAATTATGTTAAAAGCCATAAAATCACGTTAAGACAGCTAAAAAATAGGTCAGTTATCAGTCTGGTAGAGTCAATAATCCAATTTGCTACCCTAAGCCTAACGTCTACTAATAAATTGAATCCGACCGCTTCCCTTTACATTATAGCTTCCTTTCTACCCTGAGCAATACCTACAGTATAGCTTCGTATCGACTCAATGATGAAAAAACCTCTTGATTCTTGCTAATTTGTTCCATTGTACATTGTAGATAGCAGCATCCACATCGAGATGGGGTGTCAACACGCCAGAGCTGTCAGAAGATGGTGCCATAGTCCGCGAGCTGAGACCGAAGAGGTCCTGCAGATCTATCGACATTGCCTTCTTGCCAGCGACGCATAACGCCACCGATGTTATTAGGTAAGAACCTACCTATGAAGTTTATAATAATCCATAACAATCGGTAAATTATGTATGGAAATGGAAAAAGAACTTTGCACCCGCTGTTGTAGAATAAGAGACAGAGAACCTACTTACTGTGTAAAATACTTTTTTGAAGGCCCTATTGCAAAAAAATAAATGACTTACCACCAGTTCTGCACTGCCCGTATCCAGGTACTCTTCGTGCGACTTCCACCAGATCATCGGTTCATTAGTGTGAGGTCTGTCCGCCCTACGTCTTCCGGCGCGTGGTCGCCAACTCGAGAACTTTTCTGCCCTGACGGCCATCAGCTACAAGGCTATCCTTGGGGGAGGCCTTTGTCCAGCAGTAGAAGTCATTTGGCTGAAACGAACGAAATTATTTTATGACTGTCACTATAATTAAGTCACTATTTTATACCCTATTTGTTAGAAAAAAATTATGTACCCTGGATCAGTGGATATTAATATAAGTTTTTCTTTTTTGTAGATATTGCATCATGGTCCGTGAGAGCCCGAATGGAGACTTTAATGCTTGCTCTTTTACGAGAAAGTTTGCAGCTAGAAACCAGTGCTTCAACAACATACAAAGACCACCGTAAGTATGATAAATATCTAATGGGAGTTTCCTCACTGCGAACTAAGTATAAAGTAGGATAGCGAATTCACAAGTCTTTCTGGGAGGTTAAGTATAGTCTTAGTAGGTAAGTACAAGCTTTTTTCTAGTTTGTTGTACGAACCAAGCACTAATCTTCTGTCTTTTTCTGGGTGTACCTACCCAAGGAGAAGAATAAAGAAAAAAATATTCAGAGAGTCCCACCTAACCTTTACTAGCATGGCTCTTTGGCTTTGAAAAGCCTTAACAACTTTTTGACATTATTACTAGCGTGGGACGTCCACCCACAAGACATCACAAAGGTAGCAGGAAGGCGCTGGACGCAGGCCGCTACCAACCGGGCAACATGGGAAAGCATTGGGGGAGGCCTATGTTCAGCAGTGGACGTCCTATGACTGAGATGACGATGATGACGACTAGCAACTTACTATAAATTGATCAAGTAATTAATTCTAAATGGTTATGTTTTCATTAATTTCAGAACCAGGGTGATAGTCCAGAAGATTGGCGGTCTAAAACCAGGGAGGAAGTACGCGTTGCAAGTCACCGCCTCAACTAAAGGCAGCTCTGTGCCTTACAAAATGCTTTACGTCGACACAAATATATCTTGCAAGGACGACGTGTAGACCCAGTATTAGTAGAATTAGAAAATTTTGTTTGTAACTAAATAGGAAGTCTTATTTGGAATTGACTTTTAGCGGGCGTGATCCTAGAGCGGTCTTGAGTTGAAGATAGGCAATGAGGTATATCGGTTTTATACTTACAACCCGACCAAGTTAACTGCGCACCTGGCTGCCGTGTGACGTCATTTCGACGCTCTAGTATAGACGGGGCGAAGTGCGAACGCGGGGAAGTGTGCGAGTGAGTGCGAGAGAGAGAGTCGCATTCCGACCAGTGTGCCTACCATGAGTTTACGTCTGGTGTGCTCGCTAGCGACTGCGTAAAAAAATGACTTCATAGAATTTTTTGACGTATTCGCTAGCGAGCTCACCTAACGTAAACTCATGGTAGGCACACAGGTGCGCAGTTAACTTGACCGGTGGGTCTGCACTTATAATCGAAAACAAGTCGAAAAAAAATTTTTTTTGTATGGATTTGTGACGGATTCCATTAATTTGTTCAAAAAGTGCAACTTGTCTAGGGGGGCGGGTTGTAATCGTTGGCACCACTGGCGAGTGACAGTACCTTACTCTACAGTGGCGCCATCCTAGTGAGTGCAATGCGATAGTGCTATCGCTTTAGCACTCACCAATGAGGGCTAACGTTTTAGCGCTCACCAGTTAGCGCCACTGTAGAGTAAGGTCCTGTCACTTGCTAGTAGCGAAGACAGTGGCGCCAACTTGTGAGCGCTAAAGTGGTAGGAGGACTATCGTATTTGCACTCATCAAGATGACGCCACTGTAGAGTAAGGTCCTGTCAATCGCCAGGGTTGCCAACTGTTAAGTATAAAAACGATAGCCCTCATTGGCGCCACTGTCTTAGCCACTAGCAAGTGACAATAAATTATACTCTACAGTGGCGCCAACTGGTAAGCGCTAAAACCTATACGATAGTCTTCATTGTGTAAGGTCATGCAGTAGGTAAATCTTAAAAGGATTTAGGTAACTACCAGTTATTTTCGGGCACACTGTAAAATAAATATTTCTTCTAAAGTGGGAAAATGTTACGCTACTTCTTAGATGTTCAAAATCAATGATAAAATTGTATTCTTTTATGTCCGGCCTGTACCTCTATCACTATGGGCGCATTATTAACATCTATTGATTAGTTCTGTGATTAGTTAGGTAAACTTTATTAGACTTTTCAAAAATAATTCGGACGACATTTCCCTCCTTTCTTCTGTTGGATAAAACATCAAATCTAGAGTCATAATGCCGTAGGTAGGTAATTGACTCATCCAATTTTTTTCGATTTGATTATTTACAATTGACTACTTCACCTGATGGAAGCTAGGTTAAATATAAGTAATCCTGTTGTAGAATTGGAAGCATTAGTACTTAAACAATAAATTATTTCTACTAATTTAAAAGGCATTTAAAACTAGATTTTATTGTAATACTTTGATTTTAATGATTGTGTAACAAAAAAATAAATAAGTTTGTGTTGTCTGTCGTACCTATGTTCCTATCAGTTTGTTGTAAATAATGACTGTAAATAGATTTTGATAAATAAAATATAACGATTTTTTAAAGAATAATACTTGGCTGGTGTTTTATTTATATTAGCTTTTGCCCGCGGCTTCACCGTGTGAAATTTCGTGTGTCACAGATCGTCATAAATTATAGCCTATAAAATATGTTATTCTGGGCTATAAACAATAATACTGTAAAGTTTCATCAAAATCCGTTCAGTAGTTTTTGCGTGAAAAAGTAACAAACATTAAATAATAAAAATTCTTATTATCAACAAAAACCACTATTTCTATTTTAGTAATTTAGATTGTTTATTATTGGTTTGGAAAGAAAGAAGCAGTATAAATCTTTTGTGACAAATATCGCACGCAACTGAGTGCTCCGTTTTCCTATTAGACCATTTTATTCCCGCCAAAAGTGCTCAACTCAATCACAGACTCAACTAAACTATAAAAAAATATACAACGTCGAATTAATGCAGTAAGTGCTACACGATTTTTGCCTTTCGAAAAATTAAAAAAAAAAACGTACAGTTTGACAACGTCAATTTGATGTCTGAGCTGTCATTACTGTCATTTAAAAGGACGGTGTGTCCCAAAAACATTTTTGTGGAAATATAAAAAACAGTTTATTTGTGTAAAACTAATTGAACAGATCCTGTTTTTAACTCTTATACATGGCAGAGATGTCGACCAGTGAGAAAGAGTTTTTCGGTCCGTTGACCTTGCACGAGAAAACCGAGACTCCGACATTATTTAGGAGTGAAGAGCCAGAGGAATGTTTATGTGTTTTGTGCGATGAAAAATTCAGTTTGCCCACTGCTGAGAAGCAGTTATTAACTCATTTGTTCATGAAGCACCGCCTAGTTGTGTCTGATGTTAACAAAATAGCGGATTTGGGCGCCTACATGAAATACTGGAGGTTGCGATTTAAAGGTTAGAATTTCGATGTACCGACAATCTTACTATCATTATTTCATAATTCCTGAAAAATTAAGCAAGTTTGTTATTTAACTATTGCAATGAATTTATTTTGTTTAAATATCCGTGAAGAAAGAAGACTTAAAAATGTCAATAACACCATATTTTCATATTTTGTTACAGATCAAAATCTTCAATATTTTTGTACAACTATGTTGCTAGACAGCAAGCCTGATGGAACAAAATCAAAGGACGAAGAGTATTTCCTACTGAGCGACGTTTTGCCTGAAGACAAGGAGTTACGAGCCAATTTAAAGCAAACAAAGCTGGAGAAGTTACTAGAAAGACACCAGTTTGAACGAGAAGACAAAAACTACGAAAGAGAATGCCTATTTTGCAGGTATGTCTCAAAAACCACTAGAACTCACTATTTGAACCACTTGTATGAGAAACACAATTTTCATATTGCTAAACCTGAAAATCTAATATTCATAGACGATTTAGTAAACCTAGTTGCGTCTAAACTTGAAAGCTTGCAATGCATTTACTGCGAAGGACACTTCAAAGACCGAACAATACTCAAGGAACACATGCGTAAAAAAGGCCACAAACGAATAAATCCAGACAACAAGGAATACGATAAGTTCTTCTTAGTGAACTATTTGGATGACAAAACGAAACCCAAAAGCATTTATAAACAATATTACAAATCTCAGCCTCATCGTTCAGCTGATTATGAACATGATTCTAATGTTGACAGTGATCCAGATTGGTCCGATTGGACCGAAGAGAACGGACCTCAGATCACTTGTTTGTTATGCAAGCACACTGAAATGGAATACGAAAATATTTTAGACCACATGGAAAGGCAACATGAGTTTTCGTTCACAAACGTCACAGCGGGACAAAATTTTTATCACAAAGTCAAGATAGTAAACTACATCCGTCGTCAAATACACTTGAAACAGTGTTTGTCGTGTGACACAAAGTTTGACGATTTGAAAAATTTAGAGAAGCATATCAAGGAAACTAGTCATCATGTTTTGAGTAAGGAAAAATGGGACCAGCCTGAATATTACTTTCCTACGTATGAGGATGATTTGTTCTTATGTTTCATCCAAGACGATGATGAGAGTTGGTGGTCAAGCGACGAACAGGAAGTTGAACGGAGCAACAGTTTGTCCGATAATATATCTAAGGAAATGGCTTTAGCTGTATTGGATGATTAAATATTAGTAAATAAAATGGCTGCATTATACTCTTTATAAATAAGGTTGTGGCAAAGCAATAGTAAACTTCCCATGATTTTGAAAATGTATAATATTTTTATTTCGAACTGTAATATGAAATTTCAAGTACTTATTGGAAAACATCACTCATTTTTATGCTTATGTTCTTTTATTTTGTCTGCAGTTGCAGTTTGCCATCAATATATTATATATAACATTATGTCTAACTTCATGTTTATGAAATCCAATGGGTGTTACTTAATATTAGTTATAGTTTGTCTAGCTAAAAATACATTTAAATATTTTTTTTTACAATGTTTTTATGATTTGTCAATAAAATTGTAAAAATTGGAACTGATGAAATTTTGAATAAAATGTGCAATAAATAATATAATCATGAGACCTATTTAAATGTAACAGTAGTAAAATTATATCTATACTCACCATAATAAACTATAATCGAACCTAAAAAGCTATAATAAATATCCATAATGTGATCCACTTAATAGTTTGTTTTATTTTGCCTCAGAAAAGATTAAGTACCTCGAAAAATTTCGAGCTGCACACAAGTTGCTTGCACTTGTTTAAATCATATTTTTAGCAAGATATTATTTGAGTTAATACAAAAATCTTTAACAACAAAGGTTCTTAGTTTTTAACCAACTTCAAAAAAAGGAGGAGGTTCTCAATTCGAGTATTTGTATCTTTGATGTCGACTGTACCATCAATAAACTACAATTTGTATCAATAAATTTGTGTAGCTATTTGTATGTAGGTAGGTCTACAATAACTTTAAGTCAACGTTTGTCCTTCACATTCAGCGATCTTTTTAGTAATCTTTTAACATAAATCTTTGTTGACAGTGCTTTGAATTATCCTTTTCTTATTCCACCTTTTTATGCTAAACATAGTTCCTTGACGGTACCTACCTAGACTTCAATGAGTAACGAAATTGATAGTTTCTTTTAATAATAATAATAATAATAATAATAATAATTTATTCATCAAAATAAGAACATTATAAGAACTTATTATGCTAGAGTTTACATATAGTTCAATAGTCTTTTGTAGCCTGAACTAGGTTAAAAACCTGTGTTTCAGGCGAAAAAAGATCACACGTAAAATAGTAATTAAGTAATAATTAAATAAATTAACAATTTGCTATATTATATAAAATTTTTTAAGAATACTTACACTTAGGTTAAAACTTAGATTACATAGGTACTACAAGTAGCTCCTCGGTTAAGTCATATGTCAAACATTGAAGATACTTAAATACGGCTATTTTACAGTTATATAAATTTAGGGCATATATGTTAAGAGTCTTATTTAATAAACTTTTAATGCACAGACGAGCCTACACAAAAACCCAAAAAGGACTAGAATATCAAACATTTCGATGTAGGTTATCTAACAAAGGTAGGAAGTAGGCGGAGATCACGTATCGCCTGAAACGATACTTTGAGCAATAAATTATTTCACAGAAATTCTATCGCTAAAAAAAGATCAGGCGTTCGGTGCGTAGGTTGGACCTATGGCAATAAATTCTTATTACATACAGCCTTGGCCAAAAGTATTGAGCACCCCGTAAATACTGATTATACATGATAACTATAAAATAAACTCAAAGATATTTGATATAAACCTTTCTTTGATAGGTTTCGAAACATAAACTCACGTCTCAACGTGCAATAAAACACGTTTCGAGATGTTTAGCTATGATATTGTAGTATTGCTAGTCTTTGAAAAATCACAAAAAAACTTCTTCTGACCTCGCTGCTGAGTTATCAACTGAAATTAATACGCCAATTTCTGCAAGAACAACTCGCAGAAGACTCCAAGAAGCTGGGCTTAAGGGCTGTAAAGCCAGAAAGAAGCCATGGCTCTCAGAAAAGAACAAAAAAGCTCGTTACGAGTAGGCTTTAAAATACCAAACTTTTACCGAGGAAGATTGGAAAAATATTGTGTGGTCAGATGAATCAAACTTTGAGGTAAGTTAGCCAATATCATGTAATAACAATACGCGACAATAATATTATAAAATTATATTTGTAAAAATAAATATTGGACCGAAAAACACTTAACAAAATTTCTTTACTTTACAGATTGTTAGCACACCTGTGTACCTACCATGAGTTTACGTTAGGTGTGCTCGCTAGCGAGTACCTACGTCAAAAATCTCTATGAAGATTTTGTTTCTTGAAAGTAGCCGCTAGGGGCGCTGCACAATATGTCATACAATTAATGTCATTTTTTTACGCAGTCGCTAGCGAGCACACCTAACGTAAACTCATGGTANCCAAATTTAAAGTATTTTCATCGATAAAATTGTCCATAGATTACGCCCTTAAAGTTTGATCACTACATGCCCGGACACACTGTATAGTTCATCAAAATCTGTTCAGTAGTTCTTCTCGAAAGAGTAAAGACGGACATTCACGGTCAAATGATTTTCGACTTCGCTAAGTTGCGCCACTTTTTTTTTACTTTAACGATAACCGGTGATTTTTGTATGGTTTTAAGAGACATTTTTGACGTTTGTTAATGTTAAAGTAAGGTGGTGCAACTCAGCATTAAAATTTCATACACTCGGTCAAGGGATGTAGGTCAGTTAACTCATAATCGGCTTAGGGATTCTGGGTGTCCGTCCAGATTTACAAAGCATTCATCCATCATCCTCACTTATTAAATAAATAAATAAATCTTTGGACAATTTCACACAGCGCCAGCTAGCTCCAAAGTAAGCAATTTATATGCTTGTGTTATGGGTGCTAGCTTAACGGATATACTACTTATACTTTTTAAATACATACATATTATACATAGTAACATCCAGACCCGTCACAGAAATTAAAATTCATCATTTCATACAATTGATTTCTGCTACTTTAATATTAGAGGGGTAATACACTAACCTCTGGCTCGTGGTTTGGTCAGAAGTTTGTGGACGATGTCGTCGTAGGCCCTCTCGTCTGCCACTCCTGAGTCCTTCACCAGCTTCTCCTTCACTGCTATGCAGATGCCGTTGCGTGCTAACAACGCTTCCAGCTCTTCGAAAGCCTGTAGGATTGAAGCAAAATGGTTAATTAAAAGTGAAGACATTCTACAACTTCTACATGAGTTTATCCTTAACAGACCGCGTATAATTTGCTCTAGGACATATTTATTTATTTATCTGTATATTCATCATCATCATGTGACATAATCAAATACTTTAGTCTCCACTGCAGGAGTACATACGACCCTCTCGTTTTAAGAGATGCAGACGAAGGAGCACGTTAAACTGACTTAGCTTCTCTAATATGTATTTTGGTGTGAAAACCCCAATTCAGTTTTAATCAACTGTTTCATTTGACTTAGTTGCTTTGAACAGTAAACACTCAATTTAGTCACCAACAATCGAGGGTCATCGTAGATTTTAGTTGTTATTCAAAATACACATCGTGAAAACCAGTTTCGCAGCATTGAAAAAGTATATAAATTGAATGGTTAGGATATCAACTGGCTGCTTTTTAGCCGGTTTATGCCAAAAAATCCAACTAACTCAAAATATAGAAGTCTAGCTGTGAAAAGCAAATACAATTTGAATACATTGCTATCCTAGATTACATACAAATTCCATACAAATTCACACGCGACTGCTCATTCCCCGGAGTCCCAAAACAAGATTACCGCGCATTAAACCGTGCTAATATTTGATCGTGCAACTAAAGCCATCTGTATACCCATCCAACTCGAACTCCATGTATCCCGCGGGATTTGGACAATTGAGTTAAGTGCAGTAATGCCTGCTAACGGAGATGTTTAATCTCTGGGTTTCGGGAACATGCAACACGCGTGTTGTGTGATAAATTTATAATGAACTTATTAGAGATACCTTCTGAGCTGTCGGCAATTTCTTGTTTGATGGCTGCTGACTAAATTATTACCTGCTTGCCGCTTATTAAGCAGATCACACGTACAGTAAGCCTTAATTTCCTTTAATGTTTGAAGCAAATAATATTGTACCAGAATAGCCTTGGCACTGCAGGATTTTTGAAAAGAAACTCCTTGATTTTCAGAATTGGTGTGTAATTCCGTGGATAGAAATGAAGAGTGACAATAGTAATAGTAAATTTTCGTTTGCTTTAAATTATACAATGCTAGCACCCGCGGATTGGTGCGCAAAATTGATCGCGGACGAGGAACGTTCCTGATTGGTTGTTGGCNTGCAGTAATTAAGGCAAAGGGTGGTCCAACAAAGTATTAATTTTTTGTTGTAAATAAACAATATAAAACTGTTAAAAACTGTTTTGATTCAGACACATGTATAATTCCTTAAAAATTAATAAATATCATGGGTGCTCAATACTTTTGGCCAAGGCTGTACTTAGGTATGCATTTTATGTTCAACCAACCCTGTAATGTAATCAATTTTAATAGAATATTGAGTAAGTTATACTTTTGCATCAAAAATGATCCAATTAAGCTACTGAAATTGCCTTCATGAATTAGGTACCTTTAGCAATAGGGCCTACCTACCTACTTAAATACTTGCTAAGTATTAGAAGTAATATCAGAGTTAGCACTTTTTGAAGTTTTATTACTGAAACTATAAAACGCAAATGTAAAGCCAAGGGTGGGTACTAAAAAGACACAATAAAGTTTTAAGATCTAGAAAATCACTGACAAAATTCAGACCGACATTATTTTTACGGGTCTTCCAGTCTTTAGGACTGAGTGAAATCAATACGTAGGTTCAATACCTAAAAAAAGAATGGGCACAAAATATAAAAAATAAGAGGCTCAAAATTAAACTTTAGTAGGCCCTAAGCCCTAAAAAATAGGCAATTGTTTAAAAAGTTAAAAATGTTTGTTTGTAATAATATTACAGAATTGCACCCTTGATACAGTTTCAGTTGATTAACCCAAAGTGAAATAAAACTGCAATATTCCCGTAATAAGGGATATTGCTCTCATTATTTTATCAGTAGATACGGGCATAACTTACAAACGCTTGTTTAAGGCATTCCTACGTACAGACGACGGCACGTCCACGTAACCACTGTGGTTCTTGTGCAGTTGCAATAGGGTCGAGTTTGCAACAAAAATGGGTAGCTTGATGTGCTGTCGTGTGTACCCGCAGCATTTGTAGTAATATGTTAGCAACAGAGCTATTTCCTCACTTATCGCTCTTGGGTTATATCCGGCACAATCAGCTCCGGCGGCTTTGTGTAAATAGCTACCTTACCACAAAATAGATCTAGCACCCGTATTATCAAACAATACCTACTCCAGTATGGATCTAAACTCAAGAAGAGGTTCTTAAATCTCCTAAGAGCTTTTTAAACCTGTGATCGAAAAGTTCTGTAGGTATTAAGAAACGAAGGTACCTACTAATGAATCGAAAACCAAAAGCTCAAGCAGATTATTTATAATTTGACTAGCGGCCGCCCGCGACTTCGTACGCGTGGATACCGTTTTACCCCCGTAGGGGTGGAGTTTCGTAAAATCCTTTCTAAGCGGATGCCTACGTCATAAATAACATCTACCTGCATGTCAAATTTCAGTCCGATCAGTCCAGTGGTTTGGGCTGTGCGTTGATAGATCACTATGTCAGTCAGTCACCTTTGAGTTAAGGAAGTCATTGTCGTGTTTCTGGAGGTATTTTAAGGTAATAATAGCAAGTTCATCTGTGATTGCGGATTCCGGGTGAAGCTCGGTTTCTTTCTCGGACTGCTGGTCATTATTCCATCAGGTCGTTCCCAATTGCAAATAAATAAACAACAACCTTAGTATTTTTCACCAATTGCTTACACATAGAGCAGAAAACCTTGTCGTACATGTCAGTGCATTCGCCGCATGGATCATTGTCTTTCGTCAAAAATCCGCAATGTGGAACTATATGTCAGCGACTTATCCGACAGAGAAACGACTTTCACAGTAGAAACGTGGTAGAAACTAGGGTAGAGTTTTGGACGTCGTTTCCTAATACGGGCCTATATTTACCTAAACAACCACAAGTTACAAAGCTTAGTAAATAACCACATCACAGATAGATACCTAACTTCGTTTTGTCATGGAGGAGGTTTTGATTGAGTAGGTAATTAACTGATAAAATGAGTCTATAGTACCCTTTCAGATTTAAGTGCGTACCTAGAACAACATTAAATCTATATATACTATCTATACCTACTTATAATAAATGCGAAAGTAACTGTCTGTCTTGCTTTCACGCCTAAACCACTGAACAGATTTTGATGAAATTTGGCAAAGAAATTTGAGAGAGTTTGAGTCCCGAGAAAGAACATAGGATAGTTTTCATCCCGGTTTTTGAAACAGGGACGCGCGCGATAAAGTTTTTCTTTAGCAGACAAAATTCCACGCGGGCTAAGCCGCGGGCGGAAAGCTAGTTAATTATAAGATTAAAAATAACGTACAGGTAATGTAATACGGATATTAATCACATCTTTACTCATGTCTCTTAATGTGAGCAGAAGGTAAATCGAAGTTCGAACTAGCCTTACCTCAAATAAGTACCTATCTCAAGTCGAGAGTGTAAACATAAACTTCGGTCACGTTGACTCAGCAGGCTAAAGGCTATAACTACCCACATAATGTTATTAGTTGTGTTGAAAATCTTTTGAAAAGCCCGAAAATTAAATTTTTCCCAGGCTTTCTACGAAATTCGCTGACCGTGAAATTGTTTGAAATCCCAGAGTAAGTGGTGTGGTTTATTTAGCTTGCACGTTTAAAAGCTTTTTAAACAATTAGTAAAACAGCAAACATAATAACAATGTTAACGAGACTGTAATTAAAGTTTGAGTGAATTAAAGTATTTTGCGATGGCTCTTTAAGTAGGTAGATAGGTAAATTAATTTTAACAAAAAAATAAAACCGACTCCAATAAATATGCACTAGAAAGTAGAAAAAGAATTACTCATTACCTATGTAAGTTAAGTACTTACTTATTTGTTAGAAGGAATTAATTAAACCATGATTGATTTTTGGAGTCGGTGCCAAGATTATGGAACGTATGAAATTTGCCGGCTTCATAATATTTATGTCCTCCTTTTTTTTTAAGTATTTTACATCTTTAGGTACAGTCGGAAGCAGTTCGAACACTTCAGTCTTTCACTATATTTACGCTTTCATAACTTAATAAATTGAGGATTCTAAATATAATTTTGAAACCAGCTCGGATTAATTTCAACATTTCAAAAGGTTATTATTCTGATTTGAAGTTATTAATTGAGTTTATTTCCGGTCTCACGATTCTCTTCTTCAAAACGATAGGACTGTCGTCACAATAATTAATTTGACAACGTTAATAATAATAATTCTAAAACACAACTTTTTAAAATGGCATTTCATTCTGGTCTTAATAACTTAAGTAATTAACTTTAGTTGGATTGTAATTGAAAAAAAGTAGTTTAATTGAGTTGACAAAATAGTGAGGTAACAGGCTGGTATTGCCATAAAAAATCTATGGGAGGAGAGTCTCGTTTTGATGGATTTAAAGTACGTCAATTGATTATTGGTGGAAAATATCCTATTGGTATAAAATGATTTCTATAGTAAACAATGCTAATTCATTTGTAAGTAGGTACTACCTCTTAAAATATTTATGAAATCGAGATTTTTGTCCATAAAAAACAAAATAATAAGCCTTGATAAAATAAAACTAACGAGCACAGACAAGATATTATGCTGTCTGTCCCTATGTAGGTATGCTTATATCTTTAAAACTACGCAACGGATTTTCATGCGTTTTTTTTATTAGATAGAGTGATTTAAGAGGATGGTTTATAAGTAAGTACATTGTATCTGTGCGAAGCAGGGGCGGGTCGTTAGTTATGAATAAACGATTATACTGTGAAACAGTTTAACAGCTTGTGTACTTAGAAGTACTTCATAATAATAGAGCAGATTAAGTTTAAGACCTAATCTGGGATAACCATAAAGTCAATGTTTACGATCGTTAAGCTAAGCGCTATTTTCGGTACCTACCTAAGTATTCAATGTGCTAGTATAATGCGAGATTGTGTTTTACTACAAGTTTCCAAGTACTTTATTAATCA